CCATTATGTATTTACTTAATCAGAATGAAACCAACAGACTTCAGAAATTACAAAATAGAGCAATGAGGATATTATTGTCATGTGATAGAAGGACCAATATATTAGGTATGTTACAAAATTTGAAATGGCTTTCTGTTAAAAACTATTTTCTGTACTTAACTTTAATATTCATTTATAAAATTAAACATGGACTGGTCCCCTCTTATTTACTTGATAAAATCAATTACAACTTTGACTATCATAACTATAACACAAGAAATAGATCTAATTTTCATATTCCACAAGTTGCACGTAAACAGTCCCAAAATTCAATATTTTTTAAGGGACTTCAAGCTTTTAATGAGATACCCTTAGAACTCCGAAATGTCGCCTCATTTAATACCTTTAAATATAAACTAAGAGATTATATGTTAACGAGCCAGCATCTGTGATATTTTAGTGTTATATTTTATATTTTAGATATAGATAAATATTTTTTGTAATTTTATTTATTTGTAATGTACTATTAGCTTTGCTAAATAAACGAGATATATATATTATTATCTATAATTTTTGTTCCATTAAAAATTTTTCTAAAATGGTCCAAATTTGAGAAATTTGACAAAATATAAAAAAAATATTTTTTATAAAAATTGTTCAAATAAAAGTTGTTTGAAATATAATTCTCTACAATTTTTATTTTATACATAATTTCTCGAAAATGGTCCGTATTCGAGATATTTGATTAGATTAGATTAGATTTTGGACAAAGTCGGAACATCTGGGGGGTACTTTATGGGATGCCGTTTTTATATTTTATGGAATATATGTTATTTATGTTTGGAGAAGAAAATTGTTCAAATAAAAGTTACATCTAATATTATCTATAATTTTTGCTTTATGTCAAAATTTCCTGAAATGGTCCGTATTCGAGAAATTTGACAAAATGTGCAAAATTTTGATTTTTATGAAAATTGTTGAACTAAAAGTTGTTTGCGATATCGATCTCTATAATTTTTGTTTATACATGATTTTTCTAAAATGGACCGTAATGGAAAAATTGTAGGAAAATTGCTAAATTTAAATTTTTCAGTATTTTCGTTTTCAATGAATAACTATAGAAAAATGTTTCGAGGTAGATGTATGTGGAAAATGTATATATTTAGTTTATCCTCTAAACATTTATAGAGGTGCTGCAATAGGTTGTACAAAATAACCAGAAAAAGCCTATAATAACTAGATTGGAAAGTCATGTGTTGGACACATCAAATTTTTTGACTATAAAATTTGAAAAACCAATATTTTCTGTATAATAAAGCTACATTTGTTGCATCTCGCTAGGACGCGCCATTTTCAAGAGAAAAGCATGTTACCTTATTCGAAAGTGTAAACAATAATTAGTAGGTCTGTAGAATCAGAATTTTTTTTTTAACTTTGAAAAACCAGTAACTAAAGAAATTTTAGAAAATATTTACAAAAATGTTCCATCTGGACTTCACTTGTAACACCCTGTATCTCGAAAACGAAACGTTTTCGGACCTATGTTTATATAAACTTTTACTCCTATTTTTAACCGACTTCAAAAAAGGAGGAGGTCTCAATTCGTCACAATATTTTTTTTTTATGTATGTTCAGCAATAATTCTTTAACACGGTGTCCGATTTCAATGATTCTTTTTTTTGTTAGAAAGGGGGTACTTCAGGGGTGGTTCCATATAAATTTGGTCAAAATCTAATAATTGGGCCCATGAGAAAATCCTCAAACTCTTCATTTTTTATGTATGTTTAGCGATAATGCTTTACCACCTTGACCGATTTATATGATTCTTTTTTTGGTAGTAAGGGGGTACCTCAGGGGTCATCCTATATAAATTTGGTTAAGATGTGGTGACGGCATCTGCACGTTTTTGAATTCGGTTTTTTTTATTTTTTATTTCTAATACTTGTAGGATGTAGATTACGCTGTTAAAATATGACCGTCCAATTTCGGGACACCCTGTATATTGGAAATTCGAAATAATAGTTATGACGTAGCGGTGTTCTTCTAATTGTAATCGGACCCTAGGTATATGGATACGGAAAGTGATGAATTGGAGATAGGTAAATTGTATTTATTGTATTAAAGGAACAACAAATATAAGTACAATTAAATAAGTATATTAATATAACAATTTTTTAAAGTCTTTATAAAAAAAAAAATTTTTCACATATATTATTAAATTAAAAAAATAACTATTAAAACAGGAAATGTTAATTTTTTCCCTTTCACAACACAAAATATACAATACTGTTGAATCAAAATTTTCTCTTGGCAGCAGGTGGTTTTTGTGACGCGACAATTATGATGCTTTGCATCTCATGAATTAAAGCTAATTCTCTTTCAATCTTAATCTTATAATTTTCGGACAAGAATATCTCAAAATATTTAAATTTTGGCAAAATAAATTAGGCAATAATATCTATAATATGCATATATTTTAATGTTTTAATTCCTTCCAGTTTCCCAAAAAAACTAAAAGGGCTTTAATTTTGAAATATCATAATGAAAATAAATGCATTCCTGGACATCACTATTCTTAATATAATCCCCAAATTTAAGCTCCTAATGTCTTGTTAATGATTTCTTAAAATTCGCCAAAATTAGTGGCTAAAACGCTTCTGGTGTAAATTGTTGCAAGAAACGAATAATGACAGAGTGTACGATACGATAGTTACAAGCGCGTTACACCCGAAGGCAGCACATAATGAGGCATTTTAGCCACTAATTTTGACGAATTTTAAAAAATCATTACCAAGACATTAAGAGTTTAAATTTCGGGATTATATTAAGAATAGTGCTGTTGAAGAATGCATTTATTTTCATTATCATATTTGATTTTTTTTCCCGGAAACTGAAAGGAATTAAAACTTTAAAATATAGGTATATCTAGTTAATATTACCTAATTTATTTTGCCAAAATTTTAATTTTTAAACAAAATTACTTTTAGAAATATCCTTGTCCGAAAATTATAAAGGCTGCTGCATTCACCTTAATATACCAACATACAGGGTGTTTCAAAATTCATGGGACAAATTTCAGGAGGTGATTGCTCATATGAAATTAGGATGGGTGTTTCCTATAACAAAATTTCTTCAGCCCACCCCTTTCCGAGAAATAACCCTTAAGAGGTAGTGACTAAAATTGAGTTTCTATTTTTTTTCTAAAAATTCAGTAAAGCTAGAAACTTGAAATTCTGTAATTTTCGTGCACTCGCAAAGGACTAACCACGTTTATTTTTTCAATATTCCTGTTACATTATAAGGGGGTGAAACTAGCAACCCTTACTTTTTTTCGAGATGAAGTTTTATGAAATAATTTTGTAACTTGAAATACTTGTTTTATTTAAAAACATTTTCCCAAAACCAATACCTTCATAGAAAAAAAAACTGTTTTCCACTCAATTTATTAAAAAAAAATGATAAATTAGGGTGTTAATTTTTTTTCTCTGAAGCTATTGGTTTTGGGAAAAAAATTCAAAAATAAAAAAGATTAAATAAAAAAAGGATTTCATAAAAGTTCATCTCGAAAAAAAGTTTTTATATGAAATAAAGTAAGTGTTGCTAATTTCACCCCCTATAATGTAACAGAAATATTGAAAAAATACCCGTGGTTAGTCCTTTGCAATTACAGAATTTCAAGTTTCTAGCTTTACTGAAATTTTAGAAAAAAAAATAAAAACTCAATTTTAGTCACCACCTTTTAAGGGTGATATCTCGAAAAGGGGTGGGCTGAGGAAATTTTGTTATAGGAAAGACCCATCTTAATTTCATACGAGCAATCAGTTCCTGAATTTTGTCGCATTTATTTAGAAACACCCTGTATATTACACATTTTTTTTTAAGGGGGCAAAATTCTTGACAATCTCTTTTCCCTAATTGGCACATGTCGTATTTCTCTAGGATTTACTAACTCTGGCAGCAAACAAATAAAATAGAAATTTGTCAGCTGTGCATTTTTGCCTTCCAGAATTTTTCATTTCATAAATTAACTAAAAACTAAATTAAACAAAAACCTAACAACGCCTCAACAACAAACTAAGACGATCACAATAATTTCGCACCTCTTCAAAAACAACTACCTATTTTTCGACACAGGAATTAACAAATTTAACTAAACAGCAGCTACCCTTTTAACCACGGGCTTCATAGACTAGCAGCGTTGCCATATTCACTGGTATCATTGTTTTAATAGAATTAGTATCCGAATGAAAACTATGTTAATCTTTGGTCCTGTTTAAAATTGGTAATCTTTTTGAAAAAAAGGTATTTAGAAAATAGTTAAGATATTTGTTATAGAATGACGCTAAAGAGCCAAAAAATTAAATTTGTTAAAAAGTTGAAATTTTTATTGTTTTTCTTTAAAAATATAAGTTTTTCGTGGTTTAGCATCATTCTTGGTTAATTTTTAGAATGATTGGCCTGAACCATTTTTTTAACTGCCTCAAATGTAAAATTGATTTTTGGCGGAGGAGCGCCCGTCATGTTTGCTCTTAAGGTACCCTATAGCACTACTGGTAATGCGAGACTTACATATTTTGATATTGCCATCTAATTTTAATCTTGTTTTTTTTAGCAACCAAACTATGACAAGACAAATATATACATTAGAAATATTTTCTACTTTTGTGATAGTAACTTGCTCTTTTATAGTAAATATTAGCAACATTTGAAACTGCATATAGGCATGATATACCTAAGCAAAATGGAATTACATCTAGTTTTAAAAAAAGCAATATTTTATTGATAAAATTTTACAACTCTTACATATTGCAAATCCAATAAATAAGAAAAACCTTCGTAAAAGAAGGATTTAGGCATTTTAGAGAGAGTATGTGCCAAATTGCAATGACATGTATCATTCTGCATACCAGTACACATTCCTTAGCAGGGTGCTCTTTTATTGGTTAAGGTTCAGCAGTATTGCAACTTTTTACATTTTATTGTAGTCTAGTATATTTTTTCAAGCAATGTGCAATAATTACCTTTTCAATATGCAAAAATATATCAGAATCTGCTACAGTCTTTGGAATGACAGATTTTAGTGTCAAGTCAATCTATCTCATTCTAAATGGTGATTTTGAGGGCACTTCTTCACTTTATCGCTTTTTTAAAGGCACCGTGATTACATATTTCACTTCGAACTACTACACATCCAATAAATATGAAATAATAACTCCATATGACTAATTTAAATTCACAAAAACAAAAAAATATAATGAAAACAAAGAAAATTGGATAGAGTTTAGGGTTTAGTTGTCAGCCATTTTACAAAGTGTCAAATTCCAGAATCCGCCAACCTTAAAAAACTAAAAACAAAAAATGACATTAAAGAAATTTCTTAAAAATTACATTTAAGCATAATTATCAGCAAAAAGAATTTTATTAACAATATTTGAATGTAATTGCAATATTGTTTTTTGAGATTTAACTCAGAAATCCCACTTGAAACTTGTTCTTATCTAGTAATTTTTTCGGGCTTATCTTGGCAACGCTTCTCTGCATTCCTTTAAAATAACATTTATAAAACCATGGGCGTATCACATATACTTTTCTACTCAAAATATTTCAAAAATGTGTTTTTATTTTCTTTTAGGCATGTTTAACTATATATTTTTATTGTATACTAATCTAACCGAAATTGACAATTTATATTAAAAGTATTTTATTGTAAAAATGTTTAGTGATTACAAAAAACAATTAAGCAAATAATTTTTGTTGTACAGGAGATTAAAAAGCACGCTACTGACAGAAAATATTTCATGTTTTTTTTAGAACAAAAAAGGCTACTACTGTAGTTCTTACTCCTTCTTTTATTTTATTTTTAAAGAGACGAGGTATGCAAGAGGCGTGGTTTTGACATATTCTAAAAAGAAACAAAAATTTCATGATTGATGTGATTAACCAATTGTTTTAGTTTTTCTATGAACCAATAATTACTCCTCACTAGTTTATTTAACAAAAATGAAAAATTGTTTTTAAAAGAAATTATTGGTGGATGATGAGGATGTGACAGTGACAGAAATACACAACCAAAATACATTTAAACCTAACCTCAAACAAATAATAAAACTAAAGATCATGGGAAAGGTTTTTTCCTCGGTTAAACATCCATTTAAAAACTTTAATTTAGAAAGTAGAGCACATAAAATAATCTCTCAGCCCAAACCATCAGCTGCACCACGATTTAAGAAAGATCAAATCGAATATGAACGCATGTTAAAAGGTTTTCAATTAACATTTATGATTTAATTTCATTCAAAACTAATACATCTTCAATTTATATTTTTAGACTATTCACAAGAATTTAATGAAAGTTTAAAAAAAAACCCACAGCTTGACAAACGTTTAAAGGATGTCTTTGTTGTTTCACGTGATGTATGCTGAACTTTCTGTTCATAGAACTTTTATGAAGTATATTAAATATTTTTAGACTGATAACTTGGATATAAAACAAGAACAAAATCCTAACCGACCTCTTCCAGTTGATAGAAAACAGGTGCAGCCTTTTTTATATGGTATACAACAACCTAAAAAAGTTTCTCTTGGAAAAACAACATTAGGAGATGCACTAGAATTCTTAACAAAATATCAAGGGGATCCTAAAAATTATAATGCTAAGAAAATATCTGAGCAATATTTTTTAGCTGAAGATACCGTCAGTAAGTATAGTTATGATTTTAAACACCCAAACAAGTATTTCTGAGATACTTACAATCAACAGCAACAACTGAATTATTTTGTTTCAGTGTCTGTCACATAGTTTTCAATAAAAAATATAAATTAACAAATTACTCAGTTTTTTAACACTTATTGAAACTACTATGCTTTCACAGGAGAACCCTTATTTCAAAATTAATGTAGGAGTCTGAAACTTTTTTTATACTATAGAGTATAGGGTGATCATATTTCTTTTGACCAAATGCTGGAAAGACGAGTGGTAACGGGAAAAAATGCAACTGGAAATCAGAACCACAGAACTATTTCTTTAAACACAAAACTCAAAATCGTTATAAATTTCTAAAAATGCAAACAGCAGGAACAAATAAAACTAACAAAAAAAAAAATTTTATCTCGGGCAAAAAGCCACTGAGCAAAAAGTTAAAACATGCAGTTAGATGACACAGCAGGAGAGTCGGCTAATTAGCGGGAATTAACCCTGAATGTAGAGATGTGCTTAGTTATTGTTGGAACATATTTTATATTTTGATAAGAATATAATAAGAATTTATTAAAATATTTAATTTTGAAATTTTAAATTACACAAGGCATAAACGACAAATGACATTTGAGTAGAGGTGATTGTGTCAAAATAACGAATAACGGTTCCAACCGTTACAATGTTTAATGTTTGCTGAATAATAACGGCGTTTTTCTGTACAGACTATAGCAAAATTTTGTATGTATGGCCACCCTATACTAGTGGAGATTTTCACAAACCCATTATATAAGATTAGTTTATATTAAATTTGGATCTTAATGGTGTGTAAAGTTATTAATTTTATTCACTAGAGATAGATGAGGATTCATGCTACTAAAAAGCTAGTGCACATATTTAAAAACTTGCTTTTTTTGACTTTTGCCTATCTATGCAACATTTGCATGCATGCTAGATAAATAACTTTGGTGTCTTGAACATGTCCCTGATCCCAATACATCAGTTTAGTGTGATGTCATTTTGGTTCCACTGACATTTAATTCAAACCAAATTTTAACAAAAACATCAATAAATTTGACATACGTTTTTACTGTTTTCTAAATATTCTTTACAGGTCATAAAAAATAGTTTAAAGGTATGTAATTGGTAACTAAACAATTGTATATTTGATGCATGTCATTTATTTACTTTAGGAATATATTTATACAAGTGAAAAAACGATATAATTTAGGCAAACGAAACGAACAAAACGTATTTAAAAAATGTACTGTCACTTCAATTGTCAGCGGAACCATAATTACATCATCATTAAAATAGCCTATTGATATTTTTTTTGGACCCGTATTGGCCGAATACCCTATAAGTAGTATATAGGAAATGGGTAGAAACAAAAGTGTACATTTTGTGACCTCTCTACTTTGAGAATTTGGTTTTGTATTTAATGACTATATTTTATATTAACTTTCAGAAAATATATTAAAGTACTTCAGAGTTTTTGAAGTATATATCCCTCAAGAAAGACAAACAAAAGCAAGATTTGCCGGTCCTAGTAGGCCTAAAATTCAAATTCTAAAAGAAATAAGGAAGGAGTTGCCTCTACCAAATGACCCTAAAGAAAAAACGTAGATGAATGTACAAAATTAGGTTTTCAATTATTAATTGTTGTAGTTTAAAGTATTGTTAAATAAATATAAAGCTTTTTTATTGTTTTTTAATACAACACACATTTAGTTTCTATCTACGAAATTTTCGGAATATGACCTATTTTACAATAAGTAGAAAACATACTATCTATAAACGATTTAAAATATATTTAAGCAAAATATGGAATAGATAAAAAAAATAGGGTCAGCTTCTGACAATCTTCAATTCCCGTTGATTAAAATTTTTGAGATCTCTGCTAAACTGTCATATCAAAATTGAATATTATACATCAATCTGGTAACTTAATCGCATCAGGAACATCAACCTCATTGAAAGTGTGCAGAGAATATATCTGTTGTTAGATGACAAAACTATATACAGTTTCGGTCACTGAACGTGTTCCAATACGATTTGCATAAGTGGATGTTAAAACTACAGAGAGTTATAATTAGTGCAAGCACGAAAATAATAATTTCAGTGTTGCCAGTTTATTCAGCCCGACCGTGTTGTAATGTTGGCGGGCCCTATAAGCTGGCAATTTTGATACAATTCATTTCCTGCTCGCTCTAATGCTAACTCTCTGTAGTTCTCACATCCACTTATGCAAACCGTATTGGAAGGTGTTCGATAGTCGATACATATGTCCATTTTTACTAATTTTAAAGTACATATGCTGCGTTTGAATATCCACATCGGATGCATCTGAGATGTTGTGAACTTTTTATCACGTGATAGAGGATTAGATTTAAATGTAGATGTAATAAACAAACGCTCTAGACTTTATTGGTCACGTAATAAAATGACAATGAAGTTTATACTTTTTAAATTTGACTTTCGAAACCACAAATCAACCTAAATTTAAAATCTAAACAAAAATTATTTTATATTCACGCTAGCATAAACAAAGGATAAATCGATAAACTTGGCTTCACAGAACACCTACTTTCTGGCATGGAACGAACATTTCATTCAAATAGAGATGTAAAAAATGTAATTTGGAAAGCTACATCTCGGATAAACAAACGCAGATGTAGATGAGTTCGATGTAGATAAACGCTCGGGATGTAAAAAATGCATCGGATGTGGATATTTAAACGCGGCAATACTACCTAAAGTATTTTTCTAATTAATTTTTTAAATAAGAATACAGTAATTGAAAACTGCCCAGAAATGTTGATATTTTCCCGCTGCACATGTCCTTATTTTTATCATTACGATTGAAAAAAAAAAAAAAAAACGTATAGGGCAATCAAAAACAACAATTTTCTGAAATATTTGATTGGAAGTACCTACAAAAGAATGATGGTAAACCATTTTTTAACACAATTTTATAATCAGGTCAAAATTAAAAAAATCTTGCATGTAACACGTTACGAAATGCCTTATTTTGTGTAACACGTTAATTTTGCGGGGCCTCGCTCCGCTCGTCCCGCAAATATTTACTCGTTACACAAAATAAGGCATTTCATAACTGGTTACATAAATAGCTATTATGCACTTTTATATGTTCGCAAAACGATATATGTGAATACCCTTCCTGTAAGAATATTCTGTGCATATTTAAAGCCAGATACCTATGACATTTTCACTAGCTAGAAGTGGACAAAATCACAATAACTGCTTACTTATATGTACCTTTTCTAAGATATCTAAATTTGCCATTACTACATGACAGTTAAAACTTAATATATTATAGACTATAATGAATAAAATTATTTCTTCCTTCTTCGAATTCTTTATCAACTCTCGCCTTGAACTGATTTATGTTCTGGGTTGAGACTGTATGTTCCTGGAGACCATTCCACGGATATACAGTTCTGTTTGTATTGACATTTTTTCTTTGCAGTTGATTACACTTTTCTTAATCTAATTTCTTCGAGTGACCTCTCAAGGTTCTTGATATGCTGGCCTGGAAGATGTTACCTCAGATGTAATATCAGCTGGTGCACTTGCAAGTTTCTATCAACTTACGTTTTGTAAAGTGTGACACTAATTTTATTAGTAATCAGTGCACTATATAACATCTACCTACATATGCCTATATTGCACCTGCAACAAAATAAAGTTAGTGGAAAAGGCAGTCCAATGTTTTATCCCCAGACAGCACACCAAATCCTTTGGATATCTACTGAACATCCCAATATCCAGTCCATGGTAGATATATATTTTATATCCTTGAGATGTAATTTATAGACATGCAAATGTCTATAAATAATAGTAATTATATAGCAAATTATTAAAAAATTACGCCATTGTGGCTAATAGTACCGTTCAGATATTTAAAATTAATGTTTTTAAGGTGTATTCAATATCCCGACAACACAATACCAGACAATATATAGGCAACAATATTATATTACCTAAATGTCGAACATCATTAGCGCAAAGGACCTTTAATTATATAGGGTTAAAAGTATATAATGCACTTTCACAAGACCTAAAACAAAAGATAAAAAAATAAAAATTTTAAAAAATGTTTAATAAAATGGCTCCTAACAAATACATTAAATATTTTATAACTTTTTAATTTTATAAAAAAAAACAACAAAAAAAAAGTAAACAAAAACAAAAAAAACAATAAATAAATAAAAAAAAAAACAAAAAGCAAATGGGGTGGAAATCATCAAATAAAATATGTCTAATATAAATTAAAATTAAAGACAGAATCTATAGGAAATTGATACTGTCAAGTAATACTTAGTGTCCTATCTTCTGTAGACAGACATCCTGTTTTAGATTTAAACACCAAAATAAATATCCTTTTAATATTTTTTAATGTTTTTAATATTTTTTAATATTGTTTTTTAATCTTTTTAATTATTTTTAAATCTTTCAAATGTTTATTTTTTTTCCTAAATTTTTGTATTTTTTCTTTAAGAATAACGTGTTTATATTAAATAGTACTTAGGCATTTTATGTACACCTAAGGTACTGATGTAAACAAAACAATATACATATTACAATATAAGTTTATTTTTGCAATCAAGCTTAGGCTTATGCAATAACTAGTTTATTCATATTTATAAATAATTTTTGTAGCATTCTGTATTTATTTGTAAATTTTAATATTCTGTGAATAAACTTCTATCTATCTATCCCATGAACATCCACTAAATATATCAAAGTCTAGGCGCGAACGCAAACCATCGTGGATATCCACTAGATGTTATTTGATTCTGCTTACTAAGTATAGATGGCGATACCACTATCGCATCTACTCATGCTCGACCCACCGTAATAAAGTTCGATCGAAATTTTTATCCTACAGACTCCATTATTCGCTCCGTGCGAAGTCATGGAAAGGGAAGCAAAAGCGATACTAGCGCTAGCTGCGGATAATTCGTGCATTTTAGGGGGATATTTTGTAATTTTGGCATATCAAATACACGTATACATTTTACTTTTTTTCAAAAAAGTAGGTAAAAACAACACAATAAGCAACCGGAGTTGCTGTGTTGAAAATTGTACAAATACTAGCAAAAAAAAAAACAGTGAAACTTATATAACAAATTTCACTAACAAAGTGGAAATTAAATCAAAGAAATAAATGGATAGGTGTACAATAAGAAGAAAAATTACCTTTATTTTTGTGATAATAACAGTAATGCTGGAAATAGTAGACATCAGAAACTAGAAAGTTTTTAAATAAACAATAAATTATCATTTTACGATGTTCTTTAATATCCCTTTATTCTTAAATGTTCATTCAGCAAGGACTAGATTTCAAGATTTCTGCCGTTGATTATAATATTTGGCTGGTATGCAATTTTGTGACTTACTGATCGGAAACCAGTTTTAATCATTCATTCTATGTTTTCTTTAGAACAAAAATGAAAATATAAGTAGCGATCCTTTTTATACATTTTAACTTCACGCTATTATAAATGGTTTCTTCAATGACAACTTATTAGACTTAGGCAACTTCTCATACATTTTCCAGTAAATACTGTTATTATTGATTTTTAATGATTATACATAATTTTCTTCAATTTAAGCGTGAAAAATATATAATAATAATAAATTAATGTTTTAATTGTTTTATAAATCCATATACTTTTATTAAAACTAACATATATACTTTTTATTTACGAATTCTATTAAAAATTGTATTTGTCAGTATAGGCAGAAATACTCCTTTAATACCAAAACAAATTGGCGCTGCTGTCGCGCACGGAGCGAATAGACTGGAGTCGAGAACTTCCATTTATTGCTGAAAAGTCCTAATAAGGATAACTTTCTCCTTAGTGGGCAAAATCAAAGGCAGAGTGTTGAAAATATTATGAGTGTTGCAAATATTTTTTATCTCTGCTATTTTCTTTCGACGTTATTCAATAATCATTGGTTACTTATGAACCTCTACTAAAGATACCCATAAAATATTTTGTTGAATATCCGAATATCTTCTATATCCTGGGATATAGACGGACATTTGGTTGGATATCCATATTGGATATATTAAATATCCACAAAATATATTCTATGGATCTCTGGGATTTCTTGTATTTTCTGGAAGATACCCATTAGATATTTTGCTGAATATCCATTAGGATATCTTCTATATTCTGGATATAGACGGACATTTGGATATCCATATTAGATCCACGGAATATTTCTGATATCCTGTAGATATATTGGATATCCATAAAAGATATTCTGTGGATATCTCTGGGATTTGGTGTGTTGTCTGGGTTTCTTCTTTAAAAAAAACTAAATCATACATACATCTTTAAAATATTGCTTAACCTTTTCTCATATTTCATTTATTCATAATACTTCGTAAATTTTCTCAAAGTTCAAATATACTAAGACAGCTCCAAATATAAAACAGTTTTTGGCAGATTCTACGAAACTAGAATTTTTTAGTTGTGCCACTTTATGATTAAAGGTGCGAAATATTCTATTAAGCTCACCACTCAATGTCATGTGTAATAACTTTAACCTATACTGTAATTCTTCGGATATCTTCAAAGATAGTTTGATAAGTATTAAAGCAATTGCTTGTAACTAGTATGACAATGCTTGAGTTTTTATTTTATTCTATTCTATTTTATTTTTTTTTTATATTTATTGATTTTTTATTTTCATTTTTTTATAGGATACTTTTTATTTTATAATTCTTTATTTATCATGTCACTTTTACTACTTATGTTAATAATTAGGTTGCTCTGTAAAGGGATTTATATCTGTTGGGCAATAAAGGCTATTATTATTGTTAATGACAGTCTAATCCACTTTAAGGTCCCTATGAAGATCAGTATTACGACAGTACCAGGATGCATCGACGATGTTCCTTAATAGTTTATTCTGGAAACGTTGAATAACTTGGATGTTACTTTTACTGGCACAGCCCCAAAGCTGGCAAATTGCTTCATTTCCACCAATTCCTTTAAATGCACTAATCTGAAACAAACTATAAGTAATTAAAAAGGATTTATACAAATTATTTGATTAACAATAGTTTTATTAACATTGTTTTAAATTAACTATAATAAAACAATACTCATGTCTAAACAAAACATGAAGATCCACTTAAACAAGCATTATTTATGTAGCTCTCACCTCAATTTCTAAAGACATATTCTGCTTCACAACAAGTTCACAACGCATGAATATCAAAAACCAACAACTCAAATCTATAATTATTTAGAATATAGGCTTGTTTCTAGCTGGTGGCTGGACAGGGACATATGATGAAATAAAATAACTACATATCCCATCTTCTTCTTACAAATCAGAAATTATTCATTAATTGTTGGCCTTTTACAACATAACCCTTTTAGTAACCTTTTGTGTAACATGTATACCATGTTTCAGAAACATTTTCAGTGAAATATTTAACTAAAATATTTCAGAAACGTGTGCTTGAAATGTTATATGTCTGAAACGTTTGAAATATTTCTGAAATAATGTGTGTTGTATGGGTAGCTGATGTGTAACCCTCCTCTATTTTGTCCATATGCTATTTGACGTCAGTAACACATAAACAATTTCAGCTGGTCTGAAATATTTTGCAAGAAATTTCGCAGCATCCCGCAATCACTCCATCACTATTGGAGTAGCTAACGGTCGTTTTCGTCATTCGATAGATGCCAGTCGGTATCAAATGATTAGGTCAAAAAAATATCTCCTGCCAAATGGAAACCCCAGATATTAGACTTGATTTTATGTCGATTTAACCCAGGGTTTGGAGGATATATATCAAGTGATATATATCATGATATTTATATCCGATATATTCGATAATTTTATTTATTAAATTAAAAATGTTTTACGCCATTCTGAACATCCGGAAATGTCTCAATACGCCCCTGTATAAAAGTATAATAACTAGCGATTAATATGTGTTTGTGTTAAATATTAATGTTAACAAAATAATGTTAAAATCTGTTAATTTTATAAATTATTTTTGTTTTTTCTTTTTAATTTGAGTTAGAATAAACGGTTTTGTTGTTTAGAATATAAGTTTTTGTTAATATGTTTGTGTTAAAATTTAAAATATAGTTTGTGCAAGAAACAATACTGTTTTTAATTAAATAATTAAATTTTAAAACTGATATATATCAGATATATATCATGTGATATGATATTTATATAAATATCATGATATTTTCGAACCCTGATTTAACCTAAATTACCTTAATCCGAAAATACTTCATAAGGGAGCTAGATCTCTTTGAAGTTGGCGCCTTCAAGTCAATTTTTTCAACACAATGACAGTTTGCGAAAAACACAACGTATGGGGTCATTTACGAGAGAAGGCAATGGAAATAGTTGATAATTTTACTTTTATTATGTTAAAATAGAAAACATGTTTAAATAATACTAAAAACATAGTAAAACAAGAACATTTTATATCTTATCCCACCTCCAAATAGTACCATCATCACAAACACAAATGAGTATATTCGAGTTTCGACTAAGGGTGGTTTGTCTAATGGCTGTGGTACAACGTGGATGCTGTAGAGTGTAACATTTAGCCTGAGCTGGATCTGTTACGTCCAAGTCCCATACAAATACTTTGCCTGTTTGGTTACCCAAAGCTAGAATCTTAAAAAAAACTTTTTATAGACTTTTTAATATTAAATTTTAAAAAATTACTCACTTTTTGCCAAAAATCCATGGCAAACCTGACAAACCAAATTTCACATTCCTTGTATTCAAATCGATGGATCATTGTTGAACTTGTTTCACCTTTTCTTAAATTCTCATCTTCAAGACGACCTGGTTTCCAACAGACTATGCAATTTTCACAGGATTTGCTTAGTAAAAAGTCTCCAAACCATTTAACACAATCTACATAATTTCTAAAAGAAAAAGATTAATACAAATAGTAAAATGCTAGCGAAGTGCATAATTGATGTGTAAAACTATGCAGATGATTTTTAGAATTTGAACATAAAATAAATATCCTAAATAGCAGTATTTAACGACAATAGTCTATAGCTACACCAAAGGAGGCCAGGATTAATAATATCAATACTCTGCCTATAAATTCACCCCCTTAAGAATTTTAACTTCAAAAACTGACTGAGCTTCTCCAGGGAAGGGACGAATTTAATTATTGTTATTATTATTTGCAGTGGCGCTCCGGGTTAACTCATAGATGGTTGATGGTGCCATTTGACTTATAAGTGAGGAAACCCCAGATACCATCATCGAAACGATAACACACGGGGATTTATAATATGGATGTTATATCAACAGAAAAAATTACTGATAATTCGGCACCCATCAGATCTTACAACGAATCATGCAAATCCATTAAAAATTCACATTATTCGGTCTAGTATCTGAAGCAGAGAGTCGCTCAACCACTAAAAGGGCCTGTAAGTGAATACCTGTGCTCGACACAACTGCGCTACTGAGACGATCTCGAGATTATCTCCTATAGACTCTCATTGGGAGGGAGCCAATGTAATGAATAACTATAATGGGATAAAACGAGTTTGTTGAGTGAAATTAAATATCACCACATCCTCAAAAGAATATTAATGAAAGCGTAAGTAATAATGTGGTTAAATTTTTCAGGTATTTTTTTGACAACATATTGTATAGGCTGGTAAACACTGAACACCATGTTAAGCCATAGTTCAGATACGATCAGGACTATAACCCTAGAATTTAGGACCCAACTATGTAAGGCTTTTTTGATAGATGTTCGAGATTTTTTCCCAAAAAATTAAAAAGATATGATAATCGGATGACCCCACATCCGGAAAATATGGCTGCTGTGTCATAATCTTCCTTTCCAAGCATCTTTTATTATTTTACTTTTCATGTACATTCAGCGATAATTATGTACCAAGTTGTCCGATTTCTATGTCTTTTTGTTAGAAAGGGGGTCTCATTTTTGGAGTAGATTTTTTTTAATTACTTTTATAACTTGTATCAATGGTGACTGCTTTTCTGCAATGATCTTAGAATTGTTAAAATCAGTATATTTGTTAAGACATCCCCTTTGTTATGGGTTGATATCATCTCACAAAACACTATCAAACTCATGCTCACCAGTATCTGATGAAAAGTTATTTTAAGACTTATACAGCTACATCTCTTAAATTAATATTAGATGCTAAGAAACCAACGTACTTTACTGGATTTTGTTAATGTATCATTATATGTGAGAATCTTAAACTTTGTTTTATACATATATAAGTAGACATATTTTTTTTTAAATTAAGCTTAGATTAATTTAATGAAGGGTGGTAAGGAAGAATCGGTCTTAATGATCTAACACCATACCTAATATTTGCCGATTGTTGTAGTAATGTAAACATTATTATTGTACTATATATTTTTTTACTTTTAAATAAAAATTATTATTATTATTACATAAATTACAATGATGCTATTCTTCATATCAAAATATTTTATAGTTTATTCTTACTCACTAAAAATATCACATTAATTAAATGTGTTACCTGTGAATATCTCTGGTGGAAAAATCAGGAAAATTTTCTTTTAAACATTCAAATGGTCTAGTAACTCGATTTGGGTTCCAAACATAAGAATTTTTTATGGTTTCCTTCATTGTTTCCTTATCCAGTCTCCATAATTTTAAAGAGTGGTCCATGCCACATGACATAATTCTGTTTCCATTTAAATCGAAATCCTGAAAATTCATATTAAATAAGAGATGATACTTTGAATTAAAACCAAAACACATTATAGGTAATTATGTATTCCTTATACATACAGCACTAAGAACTTCATCTCTGTGACCTTCAACTCCCCCAAAAATAGCTATACAAACATCAGTCTTGATATTCCATAATCTAAGTGAATGATCTTTGGATACAGACAGCAAAAGATTTGGATCTTTTGGGTGAAATTTTAATTCATTAATAGCATGTCCATGGCCAATGTAATGTCTAATACAACTCATAGTGTTTGGATTTAAAATTCTAATTACACCCCTGGATCCTGCCACTGCTAGAAGAGATTTTCCCATATCTTCATCGTAGGACCAAGCACACGTATAGTAGTTTTCATCGAGCTATAAATAAAAGTTATGTAAATCCTAAAAATTTCATAGTTTAATACATACATCTGGATCTGCATAACACTGGAGTAATTTTATTCCTGTTCCATCTGGACATTCATAAATTGTAACTCTGTTGCTTCCCACTGCAGCAAATAGCATTGATTGGCCTTCTTTCAAATGATGATTGAACTGAGCTCCAAATAAAGGTTGGCCATGATCTTCCTTTATGCTGCATCTAAAATTTTTGGACAAATATTTTGTTTATAGTGCAAACAATACAAAATAGGGTGAATTCTACAGTTCGTCGGTCTGCATCAGTTAGACTGCAAAATCGTTATTTTTTAAATAAGATTAATATTTCAAATAATATAAGTTTTATAGTATATTTAACCGACAACGCTCACCTCAGAGAGCTTTCGTTAATTGATGAATTTTAATACAGGAACATGTACCCTTAAAGGACTTAGTTACCGAGATACAAGATGTTAAAAGTTTGAAATCAAAATTCAAAATTTGCCTTATATCAAAAACGCCTAGAATATTTTTTTCAAATGCTACATCTGTTTTGATTTTTCTTTTTCTCTTAGTACTTGTTTGTGAAAGTCTTAATTACTGAGTTAGAGGCCCCTGAAGGAAGGTCATAGTGAAAAATATTCACAATGAAATTTTTCTATTAATCTTAAACCACTGAATATTTGTTCACGATTTTTGTTTTACTAATATTAACGTCGTGCGAAGCCGACTATGTTCTTTATTTATGTTTAGGCGACATAGTCTGGCATTGGCAATCGCTGCCGTCCACCACGAAGACTCGATACATTGGTGTTATGCGGTTCGACATGTCGAGGAAGCTTTCGGGGTTCTTCTAGCAGGATTGGTTCATTCTAGGCCCATACATTTTTATATAAATAGCGCGACTATGTCGGTAGACGCTAAGTTTTAAATGTTGTATTGTTAGTCAGCGAATTAGGATATCGCCGCCACTGGGGTCGACGGTACTACGTCTGCTCTGTTAGAGTCAGTGAATTGGGATGTCGCCGCCACTGGGGTCGACGGTGCCACGTCTGCCCGTTGCAGTGTCCAGGACCAGGAGAGAGCGGAGACTTGACTTTTGACCAGCCGAACGCGATGAAGTGATAGGCCTTATGCCCTTTAAAGACATTCTTTATTTTGTTCCTTAATTAATTACATTTCATACACTGTTTACGAGATATTTAATAAAACGTTATAAAACCATGTTAACACGTGTTTTATGAAGTGGCTATACAGGGTGATAAATCATTTAAGAACAATAATTTTGAAGTTAATTCTTTTAACTTCTAATAGTATAGTAAAAATAAATTGAAAAAATAAATTATAAGTGTGAGTTATAATAGTAAGTATTAAATAAATTAATAAGTATGTTCTAAATAAATTATAAACTGTTTTTAATAAATAAAATATTTTTAAATTTAACAATCGTTACATTGGCGTTGGAAGTGGAAGTGTAAATAAATAGTGGAAAAAGAATGGCTGAAAAACTGAGTGTTTTAAGAGTGACGAAGATACGTCGAGAGTTAGAAGATCGTGAGCTGTAGACGACAGGGAAGAAAGCAGAGCTGGCAGCGGCTTAAAGAAGCAATAGAAAGTGAAGCTTTGGATCCGGAAACGTATCTATTTTCTGATGATGCGTCTTCTATAATGTCTTCTTCGAAAAGTAAATTTTCTTCGATGGAAAATAAAGTTTCTTCTGACATTTCTTCTTTAGATAATAAAGTTTCTTTCATGGAAAATAAAGTTTCTTTAGATGTTTACTCTATAAAAAATGATATTTCTCCTTAGAAAGTAAAGTTTCTTCTGACATTACTTCCTTAGAAAGTAAAGTTTCATCTGATATATCTTCCTTAGAGGAAAAGGTGACTTCTGACATATCTTCTTTAAAAACCGAAATTTCTTCCGACCTGGACAACAAAATGTCCTCTAAAAAAATGAAATTTCTACTGAAGTGGAAAATAAGATGATTTCCGTTGAGGAGAAAATAAAACAGATGGAAAAGAAGATAGAAGAAAGGGACCATACAAAACAGTCCAAGGATGGTGAAATAGAATGCCATGAGGCGGAGTCAAAGCTGAAATTGCAAGACACTGTAAATTCTGTACGTGTTAAAACTCCAACTTTCGATGGGAAGATGTCATGGACCATCTACCTTAAATAGTTCGAAACAGCTGCGAGAGCGAACGAATGGTCCGAAAGGGAAAAGCCAGTAAATTTGACCATCGCCCTTCGAGGAGATGCTTTAGACTAAACCTGTGGAAGAGACCAATGACTTTGAACAACTCAAAAAGAGATTAGACCTGCGATATGGCCACGAAAATTTGTATCAATCACAGCTAAAGAATCGCAAACAGAAACGAGACGAGACCTTTCAAGAATAAAGTATATATTACCAGGTTGGTGCGATTTGCCTACCCATCAGCTCCAGAAAGCATGATGGAATGTGTGGCAGTCCAAACATTTGTTGATGGACTCCGTGACCACGAGATGCAGAAAAAACTCCGCTTAGCACGTCACAAAACATTGGTTGATGTCTCGTCCACTGCTTTAGAGTATGAACCATCAGGTGCTGGGATTGCAGTGATTTTGCTGAGGGTGAATCTGAATTAGTTTAATGTTGAATATTCAAGGGGCGGGTTTGTAATAATTTTTTTTAGCTGAATATGGGAATATTTTATTCATAAGAATAGGGTTTTATTATTTTTAGGAGCAAATTTTATAAGTTTTACTTTTTTTTTTGAATCGTTATGATAAATTAATATATTTAGCTTGGAAGACCTATCTTCCAATCTCTTTAAATTTCTTATTGTTTTTTAGAAGAATAAAAATATTCATTTTTATTCTTTTTATTTAGTTAATTAAATTTAGTATAAGTTAATAGAAGGGCAGTTTATGCAAACGCCCTAGGACCCAGGAAAACTAGAGGGGCAGCTTCGACCCGAAACCGTTCCATAGACCCTCTCATACTGATAGCCTCTTTAAAATGGCGCGATGATAGTGTATACTTAGACGGCGAAGTAAATGGTAAAAAGTATACACTGTTGGTGGATACTGGAGCAACCAGGACCATTATACGACCAACAACAATAAATACCCGCAAGACACTTTTACCATTAAGGTTGCGACTGCGGACTGCCACAGGTGAAAGTGCTAACATCAATGGGGAAATCCAGGTTCAATTAGGAATCGGTACAGAAAAGTTCACTCATACTGTTATTGTCTCTGATATCGAAGATGTTATACTAGGAATGGATGTAATGAACTTACATGGCTTCCAGTTCGACTTTAAGAACAGAGTGATCAAAGTTGGTGCCAAAGAGGTATTCCTACATCCACATGGGGACAGTACTGTGTCAGTAGTAGCTGTACTTGGTAGAATTGAAACCATTATAGTAGCACGGCTTCAAGAAACTATGGAAGAAAGAACACCTATCATGATGGAACCTTGGAATCACGATGAAGAAGTTGGACGAGGAATTCTAAAGAAATTCCAACCCGTCTTATAAATTATTACCCAATTACCATCAAGAAAGAGAACAGAATCGGAACCTGTGTACCAGTAACTTCTATAATTGGCCAGACAACAACTTCTGGTCAATATCTGAATCAATTAGAAAAAAAGGAAAATAAAGGAATTTCTGCGACGATTTCGTGACATTTTTGTACCAAAAGGAGGAAAAACAGGGAAAACTTCTGTTGTGAAACAAAAAATTGACACTGGTGACGCCAGGCCGATTCGTCAATCAGCTCGAAGATTATCAAAGGCCAAGAGGTTATAGAATCTTCTACCAGCCCATGGGTCTCTCCGGTAGCCCTAGTCCAGAAAAAGAATGGAATTACGAGATTCTGTGTGGATTAGCGTCAGTAGAATAATAAGAAAGACAGTTATCCTCTGCCTTGAATTGACGATACCTCGGACTCATTGGCCGGAAGTAAACTTTTCTACATTAGACTTGAAGTCTGGATATTGGCAGGTGGAAATGGACCCAGTAGAAAAAGAAAAGACAGCTTTTACCACCTGATCTGGATTGTGGCAATTCAATGTCATGCCATTTGGACTCTGTAATGCCCCTGCGACATTTGAAAGACTTATGGAAAATGTATTGAGAGGGTTATCCTTGAAAACATGCCTGGTATATTTAGAAGATATCATAGTCTTGGGGAAGACATTTGATGAACATCTAAAATACTTAGAAAATTTGTTTAAAAGACTTCAAGCTGCCCAACTGACGCTAAACCCCAAGAAATGCCAATTATTTCAAAATAAAGTTAATTACCTGGGTCATATAGTCAACAAAGATGGCATGTCTATAAATAAGGAAAAAGTCTCTTCTAGGGTTGCCACCTGTCCTTTTTTTAACAGGATAGTTTTTTTTTTGAAGCAAAATGTCCTTGCGAATTTTTAAAGCTTAAAATGTCTTTTTACGGCAAATGTGTATTTTTACGGGAAAACAGCACATATTTTTGGAAGAGACATGGTGTGGACAAAAATATAAGCTGATGACCTTTTTTTTAGAAGTTTAGTAGAAGGATGAGGACTTTTTGTATACCAGAGCCCCTTTTCAAAAAGGTGGCAACCGTAGTCGCTTCTTTCAAAGAGTGGACACAGCCAACCGATAAACATCAAATAAGAAGTTTTCTTGGGCTATGTACGTACTATTGAAGCTTCATCAGGAAGTTTGCAGATATTGCTAAGCCATTAACATGACTCACAGAAGAAGCGAGAGAATTCTGCTGGGACGAAGATTGCCAAACTGCCTTTGTAACATTAAAGAAGCATTTAACAACAGCGCCAATACTAGCCTACCCACTACCAGAGGGAGAATTCAGAGGAGTGCTTGCATATATTCAAGGGCGGAAAGAAAGAGTTATTTTAGTAAAGTGCTCTTGAAACCTGAGCAAAATTAGTGTGTCACGAGAAGTTGTGAAATGCATGGAACACATCTACCAATACTTATATGGAAGGAAATTTTTAATCCGTACCGATCATGCAGCTCCTAAGTGGATGATGCAGTTCAAGAACCCGGCAGGACAAATCGCCAGATGCATCGAACAACTTCAAGAGTACGACTTTAAGATCGAACATAGAGCCGGAATAAGCCACAGAAATGCCGATTCTCTTTCTAGAAGACCGTGCCCAGCAGAGTGCTCTCACTGCAACAGGGCAGACTACTAAGAACAAGTACAATATATGGTTCCTTAGGTACGGTCGACGTCCTTTCTTATTTGGACACCCGGTAGGAACATAAAAACAATTCCAAACAAATCAGAGAGTATTGTCATGTTTTAAAGCTTTGACCTCAAATTAAACTTAAGGATTATGCCACTCACTAAACCTATTGATTGAACAGATGGAAGTAAGGAGAGAAGCGAGGAAATTGCCGAATGGTTACCCAAATATAAACATTTTTTTGTATGGCTTTTTCAAAAACAGTAAATATGATTATATGATCTGCAGACATAATATGTAACTGAAACCATGAGCTTTGACCAAAATAATGTTCTACCTACAATTCATTATCTTTTGAATAAACTCCTAAAAGCTATTATTTATTGCTGTGGAACAGATGAGGAAGTCACAAAAAACCCTACCCACTAAAGTTGATTCACAATAGCCTCCTGAGATTGAAATCTGAGTCAGATATTAAATTAATACTACCACTCCATCTATCAAAATCACAACAAACCATGCAAATTTAAAAAAACATTCACATGGTCTACCACTGATCCTTCCAAATGTCTAGTAAATAGAGAAGAGAAAATAATTTTTTGAAGATGAATATAAAGAAATCATTTTTTTAAACTAAGTTAGTGGCACTGGATATAAACCAACAGGCCAGTCAATTGTCAGGTGAACAAATAAAAATCATGGTCCAGTAAGTACGTGCCAAACTTTACTTAATTTTAAGACAATAAGTTTATAATGTAAACATAGTGCTGAACTGCCTTTTTTATTATTTTTTGACATTCTTTATTTTCCAAAATTGATCTTTTTATCATAAAATTGAGTAAGGAATATAGCATCTTAAAATTTGATCACATAGATACTTAATAATGATTAATAAAATAGAAAATAATTAACAAAATTAAGTGAAAAAATATAGTTCAGACAATTTTATTAGAGGTAACATTTATATGTGTTTTATCATTATCACACAACAACATGATTTATACTTGTTATTAGACATTATACTTACGAATATGTATAAACAGGTTTCAATACTTTTGGTGTGTTGCTTAAACGCTTTTTTCCCTTACGTCCTTTTCGTAATCTATTTGTTGGAGTAGCACTTCTAGAAGTATTATCAGTAGTTGAGGCACTTCCAACACTAGAAGTTTCATCCTAAAATAATTTACCTATGTATAACAACATTAAAGAAAATCCTTTCTAAGTGGTATGTTAAGCAGATACAGTGAGGACTTGTTGGAATAAATTCGATATTTTTCTGTCTTACATTATTTTAACAAAATGCTTTCACAGGTTAATTTTTATTTTCAACTGCCTGTTCTATGCTATAATTGGATAAACTAATAATGTCACCACTTTCATGTACATGACTTTATCGATTGTTTTTTAACCAGATAAATTGTTTACTGATTTTATTTTAAAAAAATGTCTCGTTAGCAAATAATAATTACGGTGAAACAAGATGAAACATTATAAATACTAAAACTAAAATAGGGTCAATAGGAGAGCCCTGAACCATAATACTGGCATTTCACCATAAACAGTATTTATTTTATACAATGAGGTGATGAGTTGAGTCAATTTATTGTAACATTTTAATTAATATTTCAGATTAAATAAAAAAGACCAATTTAAACAGCTTTTCTTTGGCTTTTTTGGTATGTAAACTTTGTGGCTGAATGCTCTCTCTTAAAATTCAAGTTGAGTATGTGAGATGTAATTTATAACTTAACAGTTATGATAGGAAGGGTATTATTATTATTAGAATTTGTGAATATCATGATTGAAATAATGAATTTATTTTATATACATTGTAAACAGAAAGTGCATACCCCCTCATCACCAGATTCTTCTTCTTGATCTTGATTAGATAAATCTTCTTTCGGTGTGGATTTGGTTTTATCTTGAATCTTTTCTTTCATTTTTAAAATTACTTTAACCAAGCAGGTGTACTATTTTATTAAAATTAGCAAAAAAAGAGCAAACACAAATTAAAGACAATTTTTAAACAATCGATCTTATTGCAAAATTTTCAAATTGATTATAATGTTCATAAAATATTAAATAACGTTGAAAGTTGTGGTTTTTAAACTCAAATTACTCTCAAATCTCACGTCTCACACTGATTTGTTTTTGTTGATTTTTGTTGTTCTTTTTTAGTGCCGTTTAGCATTTACGGATGGTAAGATTGGCAAGAGACAAGATGGCAACTTGGCAACAATGAATAATTATCGAAAATATCGAAGCGATTGCAGAGCTCCAACACCTCTGCCAAATATCGTCTTTTGGGCCGATTCCACCGTTGTGTTAAACGAAGTTTAATATGACATTTTTACATTAACAATGTAATTTTAATCTCCGTTTAACACAACGGTGGAATCAGCCCTAAGTGATTTTTGTAGAATATTTTCAATTTGAAAAATTCGATATATCTTTCTAATCGATATATTTCCATAATATCGATATTTGAATATCGATAAATCGTTCGATTTGATATATTTTGCCAAGTGACGTTTGATTTTTATTGTATTGGCAACATTTATTAAACTTCAATTTGACTGACTTGCAGGTTTGCCAGACCTACTGTTTTAACAGTAGATTTTAGATTTACTATTTTTGTCTCTATTCTACTATTTTAGGCATGAACGCTACTGTTTTCACCAACTTAGCAACTTTTGTTCTTAATTTATTAGGTTTGCCTCGTTCTTCAGCAAATGTACAAAGGATATTTTCTCTATTAAATTTGCTGAAGTCAAATCAGTGTAATAAGTTGAATATTTTGTAGGTTTGCGCCACACAAAAAATATTTAACTTCCAGATAATCATCATGTTTTAAATTAAAATGCAATAAAAAATGACTAGGGCATCATAATAAGAATATGCATGACAAAACATATTTGAATTATCGTAAAAGAAAATCAAAGTATGTGGAATTATCTGATTCAGACTGATCTGAAAGAAATAGGTACCTACCTATATGCTAAACATAAGGTCTTTTCCTTTGCATCGAAAGTGTAGCACTGAGTTACGTCACTTCTGAAAATATCGTTCCATCCATACAATTTGTATATATGGAACGATATTTTCAGAATTGGTGTAGCCCAGTGCTACACTTTCGATGCAAAGGAAAAGACCTATATAAAAGGTCTGTGTATACTACTGTCGGCTTGTACCTACATCGCATGCATTTTTTACATCTCGAGCGTTTTTTTATCCACATCTGACACATCTGTCCCATTACATTTGCCGCGTTTGAGAATCCACGTCGGATGCATCTGAGATGTAGTTAATCTTTGATCACGTGATTCAGTATACGTAAATTGCCGCGTTTGAGAATCCACATCGGATGCATCTAAGATGTAAAAAATCATTGATCACGTGATTCAGTATACAAATGCCGCGTTTGAGAATCCACATCGGATGCATTTTTTACATCTCGAGCGTTTTTTTATCCACATCGGACACATCTACTACATCTACATCTGCGTTTGTTTATCCCAGATGTACCTGTTCAGATTACATTTTTTACATCTTGATTTGAAATGAGATGTGAATGAGATGTTCGTTCCATGCCAGAAAGTAAGTGTTCTGTGAAGCCTTCTTTGTCAATTTATCCTTTGTTTGTGGAAGGATGTTAGCATGAATATAAAAGTGATTAGTTTGTTTAATTTTTGTTTATATTTAAAATTAGGTTGATTTGTAGTCTCAAAAGTCAAATTTAATAAGTATAAACTTCTAACTTGTCATTGACATTTTATCACGTTACCAAATAAAGTCTAGAGCAGCGTTTCTCAACCTTTTTTGGCCCACGGACCAGTAGATTTGTTAAAAAAATTGCGGACAGTAAATTGTGTGACAGTTAAATTTCTCCACGGACCACTAATGGTCCGCCGGACCAGCGGTTGAGACTAGCTGGTCTAGAGCGTTTGTTTATTACATCTACATTCAGATCTAATTCGCTATCACGTGATAAAAAAATTCACAACATCTCAGATGCATCCGATGTGGATTCTCAAACGCGGCAAAATGTAATGGGACAGATATGTCCGATGTGGATAAAAAAACGCTCGAGATGTAAAAAATGCATCCGATGTGGATTCTCAAACGCGGCAAATGTAATGGGACAGATATGTCCGATGTGAATAAAAAAACGCTCGAGATGTAAAAAAATGCATCCGATGTGGATTCTCAAACGCGGCAATTTTCGTATACTGAATCACGTGATCAAAGATTTACTACATCTCAGATGCATCCGATGTGGATTCTCAAACGCGATATCCGAAGCATGTACACATTTTGACTGTTTACAAAAATCACGGATTATTTCGGATACGAAACCAGAATACTGGCTTGAAAAATCCGAAGTATTCCGAGAAAAACCAGAACACTTTTTTTTACTGCGCATGAGCCCGACAATTGTGGATCGTTATTTCTCAAAACCAGAACAGTACAAGGATTCTTATGTGCGTACTCAACACGTAACGAACTGAATAGAGAGAGACATTACATACGAATCGCATTGTGTGGAATGAAGATAGTCGTCTCAACACGTGCCGAATTGAAAGATAAGATATCCCAATGCTGACCTCGTGTCCTGACATTTAAGTTTTAAAATTTTTATTTATTTTATTCTTTGTTTAATTTCTAATTTGGGTATAAAAGCCAAAAATGTTTATTTTTCGTTTCTTATATATATTTTTTGTTATTGTACTGCAAATTATAATTATTTCCCCTTGTATTACAATTACAATCTAATGTTCAATTCACAATATATCCCCTGGTTCAGTTTCAATGATTAGTGTTTTTTCCCACCCATCTACTGTTCCAGAAAATTTTCATTTGGCAACACTGCTAACTTGACGAATTTGTCATTTGTCAACAAAGGTTTGCCGCTTCTTTCGTCAACCGTCGACGTTTTAAGGGTGCATCATGGCGTCTTCAGAAAGTGCTGGTGTGACTGTAGGTCAGCCAAATTTACATAAACAAGATTTATCTAAATTGGTAAATATTTCATTTTTTAATAATTAATTTTGATCTAACCATTATTTCATATTTTCGCCACGAGTTTATCTAACCTCACTTTGAGGGCCAATGACACATCTGCTGAAATGTTTCTTTCAAATATTATGAAAAATACATTTTATTTATTCGCCAAATTATTTTTTAGGATGTAACAAAACTAACCGCTTTATCTCCTGAAGTAATAAGCAGACAGGCTACTATAAATATAGGCACAATTGGTCATGTAGCCCATGGAAAATCCACGGTTGTGAAAGCCATCTCTGGAGTGCAGACTGTCAGATTTAAAAATGAATTGGAAAGAAATATTACCATTAAATTGGGTGAGTGTTAAAAATAATTTTTCTTTGGTTTAAAAGTAAAGCAAAAATAATATAACCGATATACTTACCCAGTTTTAATTTTTTTATAAATTCAAGGTGATATCAGTTTTGCCCTTGTTTACACAGATTTCATCATTTTAATTGATTTTTTATTTCTTATAAATTCAAGGTGATTTTAATTTTGCCCTTTTTTCATTAATAATATATTTAATCTCCACGCAACAATATCTAAGATTAAGATTGTTTCCATGTTCTGGTCTAAGAATTTATGTATAAAGCACCCTCTGACTTTAAGGGCATAGTTTTATTAAAAAAATAATTTCATATATTTTGCTTTATTTAATCTAAGATACTTTTGGCTTTATGCATTCACAAGATGGTAGTTTAAAAAATATCCCATTTGATAAAACAAAATTAATAATCATGGGTATTTTTTCAATGTACCGAATTTTTGGGCACTAATTTTATCAATTATTTCTTTCAGTTGTTTTGAGTCTTGTGATGAACCTTTTGCATCGAACTGAAAGTATCTTGTGATCTCTAACTTCATAATATTTAGATTATTTGTAATTGGCTTACACAATGATTTACCATTGTAGAGAAACTCCAGTTCGATAGAAATGGTACAGTAATCACATGGCCCAAAAAACTGAAAGGAAAAAAAATTAATCTAAAACAAGCACTTGAGGATTGCGAAAATTTCACTGATCAACCAAAGGGTGTAAAACGAAAATATGAGCAGTTAAGAAAAGTTAGACCAAATCGAGAGAAGCCCACATATTCCAGAGAATTTAGTGTAGAGAAAATTTTAGCCCAAGAATATGATATAGCAACAAAAACTATTATGTTTTTAGTAAAATGGGAGGGATACCCTAAAGAACAAAGCACATGGGAACCTTTAGATCATTTAAAACATTCACCTTTAGTTTTGACTCAGTTTTTAGCTGAAAGTTTGGGTTCACAAGTACTTGATACTTTATGTGAAAAATTAAACATTTCTAATAAATTGACTGATCAACAATTACTTGAATCCTTAAAGATTGATAATCTCGATAATCTCCCTGATAAGTTACATCTACAAGCTAAATTATTAGGGTTAATAGCAACTCCCCCAAAAGAAAGACATATTCACAAATTAGAGGAAGGTAAAAAAGCTATATTAATGTATCAATTGGTATTGAAGAGGGAGCAGCAAGTTAAACAATTAACAGGTTGGGAAAATACTATTAACATGATGGATAAAGGGGAAGCTATAATAACTGTAGAAAACACTGTTGATTTGGAAGGACCACCAGATGGATTTACTTACATAAATGAATATGTAGCCACTAATGGAATAGAAATCCCTTATCAGCCAGACTCTGGTTGTGATTGTGAAGAATGTGGACCAAAATCAAAGGGGTGTTGTGGGCGACAGCCCTATAATGGCTTTACTTTTAAAGGAAGATGTAGGATCAATGTTAATCCTGGGATTGCAGTTTATGAATGTAATAAAAAATGTAAATGTAGTGAAGATTGTAGAAATAGAGTTGTACAAAATGGTCGTAAAGTACCACTTTGTATTTTTAGAACTGCTAATGGCTGTGGCTGGGGTGTAAAAGCCATGAGAAAAATTCACTGTGGAGAGTTTGTTTGTGAATATGTTGGGGAGGTTATTACCCATGAAGAAGCGGAGGTAAGAGGACGTACTTATGACGAGGAAGGCAGAACTTATTTATTTGACTTAGATTATAATTCAAAAGACAACCCTTATACTGTGGATGCAGCTAAATATGGCAATATTTCCCATTTCATCAATCATTCTTGTGACCCGAATTTAGGAGTTTATGCAGTTTGGATCAATTGTTCTGATCCAAATTTGCCACGATTAGCGCTGTTTGCACTCAGAGAGATAGAGCGATATGAAGAAGTGACTTTTGATTATATGATGAATATAGATCCAGTGGTACCAACTACACCAGAAAAAGCTAGATTTTTACATACTCCTGATAAAAATCAACTAATTCAGAATGGTAGAAGTATTTGCAAATGTGAAACTGATTCTTGTCGAAGATATTTGTTTTAACTGAAAAAGGGGATTTTAGTATAGCCGTTGAAAACATACTGAAAGCTTTTTTCAATTTTAATACTACAATTTTTTAAAAGAATATATTTTCACTGCCTTACTGTATTGTTTTAAAACTAATGACTGTATGATATTTTTAACATTAGTTATATTAAATATGCTACTGTTTATAGAATATTATTAAAAATAATAATTAGAGAATTTTTTTATAGTATTTAACTTACACTAGAAATTCTCCTAATCTCACAAATCATATTTTTGTTCAATTTAATGTTGTTTTGTGATTTGTTCACTATTAAAAATATCAATGATCATAAAAAATTTGTATGTTAGACATTTTAGTTGTTTTTTATGTAAAAAACGACTAATAAGACTTTTTAGTTTAATTTAGTTAGTCATTTTAATATAACCAATGTTACTATGTCATATCAAATTGTAATTTTAAAGCTTGTTTTTAAGTTTTATTTTCTTTTTTTTATTTGTTTATTAATTTATCGAATTTGAAACTAAAAATTGATTGTCAATTTTTATATTTGTAATGTATTTTATTTAAAAATGATATTGTTTTTATATTTACTATTTACAAATTAATTGTAGGTTGTTTTAAAACACGTTTTCCTGATAATGTTATAAATTCTATAATTCAGCTTTAACAGATGTTAGTTAATTGTGTATGCCCCAGAAAATAAATTATATGAAAAATAGTTTTTTATTATTCATAAGAAAGCATCAGAATTGTTATGGTCTATAAAATTATTAAATTTTAAAAGTTAGATTTTAGGGTTGGTAATTATAGTTTTTGTGTATTATCAATAAATTCCATTTTGCACAAAAGTTTTGTTTACTAATTTAATCAATTTCTTGGCTTTTATTAAACGAGTTAATGGACAATCATTTAATTTTATAATTGTATATTTTATTTTAATTTCCCCCAAAATCTGACACGTTACAGAGGTGTAATGATTGTCCAAATAAGAAAGAACTCCGGCTGTCGCTGTATCTCAGAAATTATGCATTGTACAATTTTCTTATACATAAAATTTAGATTATAACACAAAAAAGGGGAAGAAGTGCCAGTATCAGGGTTCGAAAATATGATATTTATATAAATATCATATCACATGATATATATCTGATATATATTCGATATATATATCATTTTTAAAATTTAAAAAACTACTGTTTCTTGCACAAACTATATTTTAAATTTTAACACAAACATACTAACAAAAACCTATATTCTAAACAACAAAACCGTTTATTCTAACTCAAGTTAAGAAGAAAAAACAAAAATAATTAATAAAATAAACCGATTTTAACATTATTTTGTTAACATTAATATTTTAACACAAACACATAAATTGCTAGTTATTATACTTTTATACAGGGGCGTATTGAGACAATTTCAGATGTTCAGAATGGTAGAAAACATTTTTAATTTAATAAATAAAATTATCGAATATATCGGATATATATCAAGGTATAAATATCATGATATATATCACTTGAACCTCCGAACCCTGGCCAGTATAATAAAGTTAATGTAAAAATTAAAACATGATAGAATTACTACATTATTCTGTCCATCAAGATATAACATCAAAAAGGAACAATTTAAAGTCACATGGGCATAGATTGATCATAGGAGGAGAAACTATGCCTAACAACTAAAGGTAAAGAACTTTTACTAGCATGCAATTAATATTAATGTGAAACAGCAGAAAAATCATATTGGCTGACATTCTGAAAAAATCCTGATATAGATTTCTTTATGCTCAGAAATATCTTGATAAACTATACATGCTTGTAGAATAAGCATGGGATATGAACTCAAATAATTCCCCTATACTTCTTACACTAAGTACTTAATAAGGCGATTAAAAAATAAACCCCTTCTTAAGACTAGTCAATTAACAAAGAGATTGGAAAAGCTTCAAATTAAAATTAACGAAAAAATTAATCTATCAGTACCACTGAGAGCTGTAGAGCAGCTAGATAATGAAGTTGAATTATTAGTTAAAAATATACTGGAGAAAAAATCACTTCGGGAGGTAAAAGGGAACATTTACCGGAAAGAAATTAGAGAACAAATTAACGAAAAAAATAAGAAAATAGCAACAAATCAGAGCCCCGGTTGATAAAGGATCGTTAACAAAACTCGACAATTAAAACTAGATTAACCATATCAAACAAGAGTCAATTGGTAACTACCTTAGTGAACTAACTATTGACAAAAGCACATAATATTCATTCTGGAAAGCTATTAAGAGTCCCCACCAATTAGAAATGCAGAACATATAACAACTCCCAAATAATGAAGAACATTGACTGGATTGAACAAATTATTAGCCAGAACAAAAAAAAAAACGGACAAAATGGACAAACTATACAAACAGGTTACAAACTAGTTTAAATAAATATACAGTTCATAAAAAATAGAACTGAAACATATCTGTAGAAAGCTAAAAGTTTTGTGAATCTGGTATGTAATTTGTTTATGGTGTGAGAATTTACAGTGATCAGACCAAAACAACTGAGAGCGTATTTTAATTATATTAAGGGTGAACTAAAAAAATTAATTGATAATGGTGATAATAACAAAACAATTAAATTTATAAATAATAAGCCTACAATGTTTCAATATTTATAGGATTTGTCAATGACATGGCTATCAAAGCAGATGAGTATGGATCATTCTACAGTGGCACATGACTTGTTCAGCTGCTTCTCTTCACCACAAACAAAAACAAAAGTGACATGTTACAGTCTCCGACCTATGGATCTTGTTCTTTTTCCCTAGTTAAATGGCACTGATTTGGAACCAACTGGCCAAAGCTTCGTTAATAATTAAACCAACTTTAAGGACTGTATTTATATAGCCATGGACATTTTCCTCTGCAGTTATTCTTGATCTATTATTTAAATTGACCTGTATTTTAGATACATGTATATATTGTCCTTTTGATGATTTACACAGGTGTTAATCCTTGGGTGGTTAAACAGGGGGAAGGAATACATAAATGTATAAAGGTGCTTTTGGTATTCTATTATTTATAGCTTAATATTAGATTTATGTATTGCTATAATGGTAAATAACATCTACTGTTGCTTAGTAGACAAGGCAGATTTACTGAAAAAGTTGTATATTTCTTAATATTTTGATAAAGGGTAATTACTAGATTTTTGTTGGGGCATTGAAGAATGATGTGTCCCAGATTTCTCCGCAGGAGCAGTTTGGATCGTCTGTTAGTCCAAATCTGTAAAGGTATTCAGGATATAGTGCATGGTTACTCCTCAATCTACATAATACTCGTTTTTCGATTTTGGGTTGTAATATTTTATAGTTTTGACCAGTAGGAGTTCCTTCATATTGTGATTGCCACTAATATATAATTTTAATTTTACTTGGGTGAAAGATAACTGAGACTGGGATTTTGAAGTTTTCTATATTGTACCCTTGGTCTATAGCGTTTTTTTGCGAGTTCTTCGGATTTTTCATTTAATTTTATTCTCACATGATTTTTTATCCACACCAAAGATAATTCCTTGTTTACAGATTGCATTTGTGGGTATAATGAGAGCATGTCCACTAGCAGGTAATTATTTATTAAATTGATTGTCATAGATTTTATTGTCTCTAGTGAGCTCCGCCTATCGGTGACGATTACAAACTTAGTTTTATCTAAACAAAACCTGACGGCTTCTCTCATAGCGGTTAGTTCTGCAGAGTAGATGGAAGTATATTCCTTATTAGTATTAGAATTTTTGTGGTAGAAGGAACAGTCTACTTTATATTCTTTTAGTGATCCATCAGTAAAAATTTGGTCGTAACTGTTCCACCTTTCGTTTAGCTTATATCTTGTTAAGATGATATCTTAGAGGTCAATGGTAAGGAGTAGAGTGATTTCTTTTAACTTGAACTCAGCCTTGGAAGGTTTTTAGTCACCTGTGTGGCGTTTGCTTTTGTCAGTCCCAGAGTGGTCTTTTATATGCAGTAGTATTAAGGACGTTGTTTCTTTGTTAGATGAGTTAAGATAAGCCACGTTAGTCTCGAAGACTCCCTTTCTCAGGTCTTTAAAAGTGAATTCGTCAACCTTTCTCAGGTCTTTAAAAGTGAATTCGTCAACCTTTCTCAGGTCTTTAAAAGTGAATTCGTCAATTCCTGACACTGTGTTAATCTCACCGTTTTGCCACTTATAATCTTCCAGTCTTCGCTTTTTAGGCCCATCTTCTAAATTTCTAGGTTTACAAACATATCGCAACCAGAACTCTAAAAGCACCCTTCAAAGTATCATTGGTTATTGCCAATTGAATTTGTTTTTCGTTGGCTGGTTTGGTATCTGGTCGTGCAACCTTTTGAGCAGTTTGGATTTAGATTTGACATAGTTAAATTGGTTTGCATCAAACCTTTGCAGCTTCTTTGTCTACCACCGGCGTCATGAGAATAATAGCTACGTTTTATTTCGATATAGCCTGGTTAGACCTTAAGGAATTAATTTTTTCATAATTGTAAAATTTAACAATAATAATAATAATAATTTACTTTTGCAGACCTGTATAACACAGTTTTATTGAGAAAATCCGAAATAGAATAAAAAGAGTTTTTTTGTAGGTATATTTTCATTCATTATATACATGAGTTAATAAATAATTTGTTAGTTGCAGTTTCGATATTTATTTTTTCTAAATCCATGTTGGCTACTTGTGAGTATTTTAAAATCAGTTATAATATTATATACACATCTCTCAAGTATTTTTGATAATTCTGATAATGAAATAGTTATCTTTGTTTGATGGTTCTCCTTTTTTATGGAGAGGAATTACAACTGCCAGTTTAAATGTTTCTGGAAAAAATCCTTTTCCTAAAGATACGTTTATTAAATAGGTCTGTGGTTGTAAAATTATCATTTTAATTGTTTTCAGTACAATGTTTCTTTTTAATTTTATCAAACACTATTTTTATGTCTTCCATAGAAATCTAACTAACAAAAATAGAGTTTACAATATGTTGACCTACTGTACAACTCTGTGATATATTAGATTAAAATGATCACAACCATATTGATACAAATGGCAGAAAAATGAGAAGCAAATAAGTTACTCATTTCTGTATGTTATTATAGTGTAAGGAGATATTAGTGGTATGTTTAGGTTTTCTGTTTAGATTTTCATTTATAATTTTTATTTTATTGTCGGCTCTGTTCACCCGATCATTCAAAAAGTGTCTTTTAGATTTTTTTACTTTTGATTTAGAGTGTTTTTTCAGGTTTACAAATTCAATTTTTAATTCTGCACTATTTGATAATCGAGTAAGTTGATGCATATGTTTTAGTTGATTGTGTAAGTGGGCTATGTCCCGAGTGTGCCAATTATTCGCACATGCCCTTTGAGTTAAATTTTTTAAACTATTCAAAGGACAGCTTGCAT